ATACAAAACTTATAATAGATTTCTAGTAATAATAAAAAATCATATACCCTATTTGTTTTTTGTCACCAAAAGCGGAAAAATAAAACTTTTTTTTCCTTAGGTAGTTATGCTGCTTTCCATTTGTACATGGAGGTCTGAATTTCCGACCCCTAAGTTGGAAGTTTCACCTGGAAGGTCCAAGAAAATTTAAATTAAGAGTTGGAAATTCTGAGCAACATCTCTATGTTCAAGATGACTGCTTCTCGCCTAACAGAAGTAAAAACAATGTTACTTTGTAATTCTTTATTACTTGTGTAACATTTAGTCGTTTCTACATGTACTAATTCCCGGTGTAAGACGAAATAGTCAAAAGGTGTTTGTATACAAAAAAACCTAAATAATCTCTATAAGAGCAATAAATAATACAAGAATTCATGTTTTTTGGGGGATTTTTAGACAAGTAAAAAACTGGAGTTTTATTATCTTGAAGATTACGCCACTAGTTAGTTCCCCGGTTTGACTTTTATCACTGAATGCAGAATTAATATGTGTATACCATAGTGAGCGTCAAATCATTTTAACTTATTGTGTAAAAGCAACGCTACGCACCCTATGGGCACGGTAGGCAGGTAACCCTGCATCGCCCTGTAGCACCCTCTAAGGCCATACCAAAAACTGACAGTCTTCTGGATTGTTCCTAAACCTCCAAAATAATTACCTTTAAAGTCATAGGGAAATCATATTTAAATGTCGAATCATTCTCGCTTAAACATGTATATAAACTTCCTCTTTATCAGATGATATTGTCCCAAAATTTAGAAAAATTTTTTTTTTTTTTTTTTAATCCTGTCTTAAAATCTGTGGGGTTTTTTGCGTTACCGGTATCTTAGGCAGGCCAGTTAGTTATATGTCAGGCTGCACACCTAAATTCGGCCAATCATAGAAGTAGCATCACCTTATGGCACATCTGAACTACCTTCAAGCTACATGCTTGAACTGAAGTTCTAGGAATTAATTGTTGTTCAGAAATCTTTACATCTCTGGCTTGACTGAGGTGCTCAGATCTTCCTATTCTTGAAAATGTTACTTTATCCATTATGGACCGTCAAGTTAATTGCATGAGGACATTGCAACCACACATGCGTTTCTGTCCACCTCAGACATGTTTTCTTAATGCTTTGATAAAGACCTTCTCACAAACAGACCTCATTCAGTCCGGGTTGGACTGAACACCTCTGATGTCATCAGTCTAAGCACACGCTCCCCTCAGCACTGCGTCCTGAACCCCCTCTTGTTCACCCTGATGACACATGACTGCGTCCACAGGTTCACCACCAATCACATCATGAAGTTTTCAGACGAAACCACGGTGGTGGACCTCATCAGAGACGACAACGACCTGGACTACAGAGAGGAGGTGGAGCAGCTGGTGGACTGGTGCAAAGATAACAGTCTGATCCTGAACGTGGAGAAGATGAAGGAGATCCTCTTGGACTTCAGGAAGAACCGGCCTAACCACACTCCACTGGTCATCAACAGCTCAGCTCTAGAGGTGGTCAACAGCACCAGATTCCTGGGGGTGCACATCACAGACACCCTCACCTGGACTGGAAACACCACCTCACTGGTAAAGAGGGCACAAAAGTGCGTGTACTTCCTGAGGAGGATGAGGAGAGCCCAGCTGCCCCCACCCATCCTCACCACCTTCTACAGAAGCACCATAGAGAGCGTTCTGACTCACCGTGGTGTGGAGGCTGCAGTGCCTCAGACTGGAAGAAGGTGAGAAGATCATCAGAACTCCTCTTCCCTCCATTAAAGACATTTCATCCCAGCGCTGCGTGTCCCGAGCCCGTAACATCATAAATGACCTCTCACCCCCACCATGGACTGTTCTCCCTGCTGGGGAGAAGCATCCAATGCAGGTCCAGCAGATTAAAGAACAGTTTCTTCCCCACTGCCATTAGACACATGAACTATTGAGAAAACTCTAAAGCGGAGGTCTTCAACAGGGGGTCCATGACCCCTAGGGTGTACACAGAGGTACTGCATGGGGGTCGCAAAAGTTTTGGTTGATTAAACTTTTTTTTTTTTTTATTCCCCCCTGCAATTTTTTCTACTTATTGAATTGTCTTTAAATACACATTAACATGAATTCGACACACTGAAGTAAACAGATGAATGGAGGCAGAAGATGTCTTTCAGGCCCCGTCCACACGAAGTCAAAACGAACACGAAACGCTAATATTTTCCAGAACGTTTGTCGTAAAGACGGAGACGTAAAATAAATGTGAGCGTCCACACGAATGCATGAAAACGCTGCAAAATGTATGCCAGGCCTGTAAGTGGCGCTGTGGTGCCAAAGAAAAAATAAGCGACAAAATGTTGGGCATGCGCACTAATATTTATACATGGTTGCCCTGCGGGTCCATTTTCGTGGTTCAGTCAAATTCAGGTGCTGAACTATGTCGTCGATATTGCTCTGTTCTTCCTGGAGATATTCCAGAAGAAGAAGATTCTGTTGTAAGCCCGACAGGAGGGTGAGTAGCATTAGCAGCAACGGCGCCATTGTTGTTGTGATACTGTGTCGCGCATGCGTGTTTAGAGGCGACGCTATGACGCATGCGTGTAAAAAAAAAAAAATGCGGTTAGAGCTTAAAGATGGAAACGCGAAAACAGCGTTTCGAAATCTTCCCACTCTGAAGGCAGAATAAAAAAAAGATCGTTTACAGACCCCGAAACGCCGGCTTCGTATGGATGAGAGGCTGGTTTGGTGAAAAATTTGTGCGTTTAGGCCAGGGTTCGGCTTCGTGTGGACGGGGCCTCAGTCATCAATGTACACATTCAGCGACACACAGGAGCTCTTTCAAGCTGGGCACCATTTCATTCACTACACCTGTCCCATCAACAAGGAATCGGAATCAGAAATACTTTAATAATCCCAGGGAGAAATTACTTTCATTACATGACTCAGTCTGTAATAGACTGACTATAGGACCAGTTTGATATAACACAATTTAATGCAATATATATAATTAGGCGTCCCCGCTAAGTTTGGGGGTCCTTGGTCTGGAAAACGTTGAAGACCTCTGCTCTAAATCATGTCACCATTGCATGAATAAAACCAAAATACTGCATATTTGCATCATACATATTTAACGCTATCAATGCGCTTTTTCTTATTTGCACCATGTTTTTTTTTTCTCCCACACTGTTTACATTTGATGACTGCTGCACTTTAAGGAATGGAAATGTTAATTTATTGTCTGAAAAGCTGTACCAAAACAAAATTTCATTTTACATACACTGTGTACACAAAATGATAAAAGTTGTCTAAAGTCTAAAATCTTTTTCTCTAACCTCCTTCATAAAAACTGAGTTATCTGATTCCTATAAATAATTTAAACCAATGGGAGGCTGGCTAGATATTTTGGTTTGAGGGTCATAATCGCTCATGTTTCATAAGGGGTTCTAAAATGGGAGTCAGAACCAAAATAATCGAAAATGTGGTGAAAAAGAAAGTCATGTTGGTTAGAACAGAAAACTGCCCAAGGATTCAGATACCAAAGGAAGTAGCAATGTGGGCTTCCTGGACGCCTCCAAGCATCTTCTAAATATTGAGTCTTCAGTAGATATATTAACATGCAGCTCCTTGTGCGTGGATTTTTTTTTACAAAGAAACTGGAAGTTGGCAGAGTTTTCATCTTTAAATGCTTTTGAGTTGAAAGTTAAAGAATTTGAAGCAGCCTCAATAATCTGTAATAGTTTTACTTGATATGTTTTATGTACCTGTCATTTAATTTAACCTTTCTCTGTTTTTAATGTAACTTTGCTGCCTCTTGGCCAGGACTAACTTCATAAAGAGGTTGTTAATCTAAATAGGATTCCCCCCCCCCTGATTAAATAAAGGTTAAATTAAAAAAAAGAAAAATATGGCAATGACATGCATCATTAATGGGACTTGGCTTGGAGCTCGTCTGCCTGGCAGTGTGTTTCCTGAAGCCTTTACAGTTGCTTCAAAATTGAGCATAAATCAAAAATGTCTGCGTCAAGCTCACTGCGACACACTGCTCCTGGAGCATAACCAGCCCTTAAGCCTGGTTCTGCTGGGGGTTTCTTCCTGTTAAAAAGGAGTTTTTCCTCTCCACTGTCGCTACAAGCATGCTTAAGGCTGATTTATACTTCGAAACTAGGTCGTCTGCGTAGGTGTTGCGGTGAACGCAGACACATCCTCCGCAGACACTCTGCTGCACCTCTCCTAAATTGTAGGTGGCTGCAGACAGGAGGCCGGCTTGTTTTGTTTTTATGACCTCAATTGCGGAAACTCGTAAAGTTGGACCAGCAAGAAGAGCGAGGTGCACGAGAACGCCGGGTCCCCTTTTCCAGCTGGATCCCCGCTCTTTTTTTCCTCTCCACTGTCGCTACAAGCATGCTTAATGTGAGGGATTGCATTAAAGTCAATGAGTTGATGCAATGAATTGGTTTTCCTTAGATAGAAAACTTTGAATCAACTTGACTGTATGATCTGCTGAACTTTAAAATGCCTTGAGATGACATGTGTTGTGAATTGGTGCTATATAAATAAACTAAATTGAATTAAATAACTGCACATTTTGATTATAGTATAAATATTTGTGCTCTCTGTCTTTGCAATAAATTGTGAGCATCAGACAATCCAAAGTCAAATTCCTCCATTGTGGCTCACCTTGGAAATAAAAAGCTTATTCTGAATAAACTCATTTATACCCGAATGTAAACATGGCTTCCTTTTAATCCCAAATGCATTGGGTTATCATATTATACTAAAATGTTATAGGAAGATAAATGGAAATAAAATAGAAATGTTCAATGTGAATGTTGTAGTGTGGTAGGCTGGGCTGTTTCCACAGTAGGACCGGTGCAGCTCTGCCTACTGCAGCCGCGGGAGGTTACTTCCGTTCCGCAGAGGGCGACAGGCAACAGCCAGCCTCGACTGTGGCGGAGGTCCAGACACAATAGACGGGGTAAGTTTTTTTTTCCACCACACTGACGATTTGTTCGGAGCTCGCATTCAGACATTCTATATTTGTAGATTCGGGTGGTCTTTTGCCTGATTTTGTTTTCGGTTGATGTCACGGTCAGCTGCGCAAACAAGCCAAAAATAAGACAAACAAAACGAGCCTGTCTCACGGGGGGGAAGGGCTACGGCTATGTGCTGGAGAGTGGAGCTGCAACCGTGTATTTCCTGGAGTCAATATTGTCTGCTTTAATCTTTTTAGCGTTTGTGTTAGTATTCTTTGAACTAGGTGACAAAAATTGGTATGCTTGATATTTATATTTAATAAGCTTCACAACAGAAGCCGTATTTTATGTCTTGGCTATCAGTTTGAGTAGAGTAGGCTGTTTTTAAAGGGGTGTTAGCATTATTAACAGCTAGTGGAGAAGGATTGTGTGAAGCGAACATTTATTTCCATTTCTTACGACGTTAACCCCGAATATGTACTTCGAGAATACAGTTGTGAAATTAATAAGTTTAAAAAATGTGGCATTGAGCGGGTCGGCTAACCATAGTTCGTTAACCGTAATCGAGAACGTTACCTAACGTTTAAAAAACCGCAGAGGCTAATTTTGTTGACAAATCTCGCGAGAGATGGAAACCACTGCATTCAAGAAGTTTAAACGCGAGGTGTGAAGTCTTCTGAATTCTTGTTTCTGCGTTCTTTTAAGAAGATTCGTTGATTCTAATGTAGTCAAACCCCTGTAGTCCTTTCATCTAGGTAACTTAATTGATATTTGTACCGAATGCAAGTCAAATTGTAATTAAATTTTAAGAGAACCTGTAGTTTTTCTTCCAGATTCCTAATCTGGAGCAGATGGAAAGGTATGGGATTTGGTTTAAATATTTTCCAGGTCTGGATATATAGGATAAAAGGACATTAATCATGCAAAAATCTCTTTACATCTTCTAAAGGCATATTTTAAACAATCTTAAGAACTACTTTCAACTGCCTCTTTAGGTTAAGGAAGAATATTCCCTTTTAGGATGTGTATTAGGTCTAGGTGTAATCAGCACTGAAACTATTAAATAGTCTCTTTTTGTTTTCTTTCTTAGGTTGCGGTTCTTCTTCAATCCAAACCGGAATGTCGGATGAGGATTCCCGTGCCAGCACCAGCTCTTCCTCATCACCACCTTCCTCCAGCCAAAGCAGACATCGGGACACGCAGGGCAAGAAGAAACGGGAGACTAAAGCCAGCATGAGCAAGACCTCCAAGCTGCTTTCCACCAGCGCCAAAAGGTTCAAATGACATCCTGTTACATCATAAAGTTTAACTTTTTAAAAGGATACTCCCTATCCACTTAAATCACATTTTTGGTATTAATCTGATTCAATATTTATATTTTGAATAGCAGAAAAATGAGATCTGAATTATTGCCAGTAGATTAAAGAGTAAGGGGATTGTTTTGTACTACCACCCTACAGCTGTGAGAGGTGAGCTAAGTCTATTTGTATAGCACGTTTCATCACCCAGACAGTTGAAAGGGTTTATATGATGAAAACATTAGAAACAAAGTACAGTCGGGGAAAAAAAGCATAACAAAGGGAAGTAAAGAGAAGTGGAACTAAAGACTGAATTATTGATGTTTCAGTGTAGTTGTGTGATAGTAAAGGAATATATGATAGATGAGCAGTTTTTTTGCATCAACAGTATGATCAATAGACCTAAGTCAGTCACAAGTTCTGTGGTGTTTCTAAGGGAAATCACAAGCTTCCTTTTTAGAAAGAAAAAGTAAAACTACTGCATACGGTTTGATCATAGCTTGTTTCTCCATTGTATGGAGGCTCTTTGTACAAAGACCTCTGCACCAAGTTTCTTTCTGTTTCTGACCACTAAATTTTGGTGTTAACACAGGGCACAGTGACAAATGATTTTTCTTTCTTTGTGAACAAAGTATGTAAATTTTTTTTTTTTTTTTATCCATGGTTTGTGTAATTCGTTCTGATGGGGACCCAGTCTTATTTGGACTTTTTCGTCGGCTTTTATTTCTGCTGTAACCTTTGACAACAGAACCCTGTTTGTTTCAACTTTTAATTTCATGTGAAGTCATGACTAAATACAGGGTTTCCGCAGGTCATTAAAAATATTAAATTATTGTTTTTTTTTTTATTTAAGGCCTTACTTAGCATTAAAATTCATTAAACATGATCATTGTGGCATTTAAAATGCTTTATATAAATAGGGGGAAAAAAGTTTATAAAAACAATTTAGACAGATATATCGCAATATGTTTGCGCAGAACTGCTTCTGGTTAATCGTAAAGCCGCATGTTCGGAGAAGAAGAGAATGGGGGAAATGCTAATTTCAACAAAAGTGGCTGGAAACAATAGGGACATTGCTGCAGCCTGTCGACGGTAAAGATGACAAAGGATTTTGCCTTTTTTTTTTTTTATACGCGTGTATATATATACATATATATGAGAGTCATGGGTAATTGTTGATGGCATTGAAATTATTCCTAAGAGCATTAAAAAGCATTAAATTACATTAACTCATTCCTGTATAAACCCTGAAATAGTTTCTGGGTTCTCTCAAAAAATTTTTACGTACAACACTGTGATTACACTCTTTATTGCTGGCGGTGTTTGTGGATAGAAGGGGAGGGAATCAACCACACACATGGATTATATCTTGATGCCTCACTGTTGTTATGCTCCCCCTTTAATACCATGCAAATATTATTCAGCTTATTCAGGAGGAGGATCCATTAGGTAAATAACTTGACACAGGTCCTCTGCTGTTCATCGTTGTAGCTGCTGCAGAGTTTCACTTAATCCTGCTGTTTTTTCTTTTTTTTTTTTTTGACCAGTTCATGAAATTCCTGCCCCTCGATTTGCAAGGCTATTGTCCAAATGTATTTGCAACACCGACGTCCATATATCTCCGCAATCACCTGCTGTCTGTCATCTGTAAGCTCTGACCCGGTGGGAAGATAATTCTTTCCTCTGTAGGAGACCTTCAGGAAACCTGTTGGTTTCTCTGGACCATTTTTGTCTTCTTCACTGCAGGACAATCTCTCATCTAGAAAAAATCTTTAATTAACCTCAAGCTTCTCTTTTGGCTGCAGCATTCTTAGCAGCAGCTTCCTTCCATCTTCCTGTTAATGGCTTGACACTTTTCTTTTAAGGTGACGATTGCCAACACAAGAAGACATGATTTCAATATTATGTTATCTTGGTTTATAGCTTTCATTAGCTCATTTCACGAGGCTGTCTGTGCAAAGGATTTAACAAAAACAAACTCAGTTGATGATTTTGCGCCAAAGTACAGTTTTTTTTTTTCGTAGGTTCATGTTGTAAATGTTCTCAGCTAATAAAGTTCTTTGGAAAAATTGAATCTGATTCATCTCCACAATAGTGGAAAATGGGTGCAGATCTTTGCAGCAGTTTTAACAGAGACCATTTTTTTGGCACTGCAAAAAAAATTCTGGAAGTATTGCAGTGATTTTATTTGTATTTCTTCTGTTTGCAGGATTCAGAAAGAGCTGGCGGATATTACACTGGACCCTCCACCAAACTGCAGGTAGGGTTTCCACTTTTATACCCAGGCTTTCCACCTGCATTGAAACAGTTTAAACTTATCACACAAATCTCATAGAAAAGTGATCTAGATCTGCAAAAAATAAATTTATGCCAACTTAGAAAAACACATAATGATAAAGTAAAATTTTCTCTATTGTTGTTTTAATGAGGTTCTTTTGTTTTATGCGTTACTTCTTTAGTTAGCCTTCCTTTTAGTGTATTTGTGATAAAAATCAAAACTATTATTTCTGCGCAAAAAAAAAGACCTGAAATGATATTGGTGGTTTAAACCTTGTGAAATTACATGGTCCTAATATCGGTCCAGCTCCAGGCTGCCTGATGGTTCTGTTTTTCATCTTTTATTACTCTTTACCAAGAGGAATCTCTTTTATTGCTGAGAGCCATGTTTCTGAAACAGAACCCAAGCAGGACCCTGGCCATTCTCTCCTAATGAGCCTCTTGACTCCCTTCACTATCCTCTTGCGTGGCCATGTAGATTTCTACATTGCAGCTGGAGTTCCATGCTAAAATTCTTTGTAATGTGACGTCTTAATGCAAACAAGCCAATGATGGTCAGAGGTGGGTGTAGCTGTAGATTTACAAAATTTTCCGATTCATCTGTCAACAAGGAAAAACAAGTGTTGTCGATTTGACCAAAAAAATGGAAATCAATTGTTACTGTAATGCCCCCACCCCAGCTGCAATGCAAACTACATGATACTCTGAAGGGAAAAATCAATACAGATTGCAGATCATAAAAACCCCATAACAGATGATTTACTTTGAACTTTGGCATCAATGAATAAGCACATCCACATCTTGTTCATTTGGAGGACAAATACATAAAAATTGAACCAGTAGTAGAAGTAGAATAATCACAGTTTCCTCATCACATTTGATCTTTGATCCGTCATTAGGGAGATCGTAGATTCAAGGTGAAATGTTAACTCATTCCTTTTTGTACACAGTCAGTAAAAGTAGCTCATACTGCTGCGGAGCCATGGTGCTAAACATCACTTTAGATTAAATTGATGTTAGAATCAAAAATCTTTCTTTTTTCTTTTTTAATAAGGGGTATTACATTTCTTTTTTCCAGAACAAATGAGTGATTTTATGATATATTAAACCTATCTGATGCTGTTGTATTGTAATCCAATCAATTACTAGTTTATCTAAATTACATTAAAATTTTGATTTGTAAGATAATTAGTCTAAGTGGGATTAAAGGATAGGCTCTTTTTTCAATCAAATCAAATCAAAGCTCTTAAACTCTCAATTACTATAAAAATAGCAAAATTGCAAAAAGCTTTAATATTAATGCAAAACAAGCCTGTTTACATTAAAAAGTGTTTTTTCCATATATTGCTTCAGCCGTTCACCTATTTAGAAGTGATTTTGATGACCTACAATTTTATCTGCCGCTGACTAAAATAATCTCACTCAATGTGACGTCAGAAGGATGTTTCTAAATATTGCTAACTGATGTCAAAAAAGCTGATTAATAAACCACTGGTAGTATTAAAAACGATTTATACTCGTTTTAAACAAAGCGACCTTTAACTCTAACCCCTCCTCTCCAATTTTCCATATGTGTACATTTGAGTAAACATTAATTATTGCTAATATAAATGTAATCAGGCTCAGAATTTACAAATAAAATAAAATTAGTTTGTAACTTAAAAATGAACATAATATTTAGGAATTTCTCAATATAATTTCTGAAGTGATACTGGTATTATCAATAACCATACAAACTTTTAAAACTTCTCTTGTAATGAGGATGTTAGAAAAGAATTTACTAAAACAGAGAACCACTGACCCTAGTGTTATTAGTACACAACGGGTTACAGAATCTTTAGACGGAAGCAAACTGTTTTTATCAGCAAGCCAATATCAGATTTGAGGTGTTTGCTCCGATTAGTCTAGGTCCGATTTTAGTTTTTGACCGATAACTGAGCGATATCATCACAAGGCTGCAGTTCGCCTGAGGAGCTTGTTCTAATCATGTTCGTTCTGTTCATTTCAGTGCTGGTCCAAAAGGAGACAACATCTACGAGTGGCGATCAACCATCCTGGGACCACCAGGTTCTGTGTATGAGGGAGGGGTCTTCTTTCTGGACATCGCCTTCACACCGGACTACCCATTCAAACCCCCAAAGGTACCAATCAAATCAGCATATCCTGGTTGTTTACCACTGCAGCACAGCCCGTTTAGAACCATGCAGGGAGAAATATTACAAGACCAACAAAATTTAGCTACTGTGTGAATCCTCTGTTTATCAATCAGAGGCACATTTTAAGGAATTTTAAATGAAGTTAACTCTGCATCAAAAGAGAGCACGTTTGGAACAGGGTCTCTAAAAATAGGAGAGGTGTCACTTGAACTACCATCTTTAAATACTCTTCTGCAAATTTGTTGCAGTCTTTTTTGCAGATAAGGTGAAACTGTGGTTATGTTTGTGTTTCAAAGGTGCACTTCCTGCATGACTCATTTTCTGTTGCCATTCCTGTTTTGTAGCACATTATTTTCCATTTCACACACTGCATGGCCTTTAAAGTGTTCAAAATTGAAATACCTTCTATATTTATTTTAATGGCATTTCTGTGAATATTTAATTCAACTCCTTATGCATGTAACAAGACTTAGACTTTTAATACGTTGCTAAAATTGCAGCCGTGGTTTTGAAGTTTACCTCATTGTGTAAGAAGGTGCCTAAATGGAGTAAAAGCATTGCAATCACATTCACACAATAATCATTTCACAATGATGCTAAAGGCACACCGCAGACTTTGTGACCTAAAGAGTTTATGCATAAGATTTATTTTAAATTATTCCTCAGGCATGACACTATCGGTGCTCTTGAAATACAGACTATAGCCCCATTTAAACTACCCTCTGAAAACCGATCCATGCCGAGCTTGGATCAGTTAACCGTGCCGGGCTCTGTTCTTTACGACCGTTTACACACCACGCACGGTTCCTCGCCTCCTAGTGACGATCTACGGTACTACAAGCAAATCATGACAGCGCCTGTAACATTCAGAAGGTTTGCGGAGGTTCAGACAAAGAAGACAGCCTTTGGTGATTTTACTTGACAGAGGTGGCTTTTGGGAAGTTGATACGGCAAACGATAATCTTATCAGAGCTTATAGATGCAGGAAACAACAACAGGAGTTGAGGTTCATCACATTGCTAAGCAGAATCATTGCTGGAAATCTTGTGGCACGGTAGGGAAGCTTGTATTTTTATGAGTATCTGAACGTTCATGATTACGGAGGTTGACTGTAAGGAGATGATGCGGTCAGCTCATGCGATCTTTGTTAACTGAGAAATGAGCCACAACTGAACCACGCTGAGACTTACTGATGCTCTTATATCGTCATGGAGCTAAGGCTTTTGCTCTACAATTTTTCCGCCTGCTGGACTACTGATCATGGCTGAGGCAAGGAAAATTTTAAATCCTCTGAGGAGGCTAAAAAGAGAAAACGTAAAAGGGATCATGCCTGAGGAAAAACAACAGTCGACCATGGAAAGGAGTTTGTTCGTTGGCGCAGGTTGAAAGAACAATCCGCTTGTGAAACCGATTCTCTTTTCTCAACTTTATTATTAGACTGGTACGTTAACACTTTGCTCATAGTATGCAGTCATATATGTCTGTTATTATTTTCGATGTTTAGTAGAAGCAAACTGCGGGCAGAGGAAGCTAGCAGGCTACAAACAAAAGCTAACCGAGACGCCTGAGCATTCATGAATATTCAAAAATTAACAAGTTGTTTTGAATTTTGCTGTTTACACCAGACTGTTCTAAACTTTTCTCAAAATGCAGTCAAATGCAACCAAAGGGTTGGTTGCCTGGTAACCCCAGTCGGCCTCAGCAGATGGCGGCTCACACTGAGCCTGGTTCTGCTGGAGGTTTCTTCCTGTTAAAAGGGAGTTTTTCCTCTCCACTGTCACTACAAGCATGCTTAGTGTGAGGGATTGCATTCGAGTCAATGAGTCGATGCAATCAACTGGTTTTCCTTAGATAGAAAACTTTGAATCAATTAGACTGGATGATCTGGTGAACTGTAAAGTGCCTTGAGATGACATGTTGTGAATTGGCGCTATTTAAATAAACTGAATTAAATTGAATTGTTTTCAAGCTCCAGCTTTCGATGTCATTGTGTCTTACGGTAAGACGCCTCACCCACATTGCCTAGTGATGGTGGTTAGAGGGCACAGTGGCGTCTTTGTACAGGAGCCTTGCTTCTGTCAGGGAGCCTCAGGGCGGCTGTGGCTACCGCATAGCTTGCCACCATCAGTGTGTGAGTGTAAAGGGCTGAATCTGAATGTAGGGCAAAGCGCTTCGGTCAAGTCTCCTGACTAGAAAAATTGCTATCTTTACCTTTTATAATATATAGGCCAAAATAAATGCATGTATTATAATAAAGGTTACAGGTGAAACATAGCCTTAAAATGTTGTCTTTGCCTGGCCGCCTTCTCCTACCAACAATGAGTCACATCAGATTTTTAAGCCCTTTTGATAATTGCATGTATATGCTATAGTCTACTATTGAAAAATATACATGCATTAAAATGTATTTATACATTTGTTGAATTACTCTTTATCAAAACACCAATGATTGACAAAAAATGACAGGTTTTTGAATCTAAACCTTTTATATTTGTGTGTTTTGTGCAGATTGAGCTCCTGTAGGGCTGTTTATTGCTAGCTGTGTTGTTCTGGCCCTTCCAGGTCTCCATAATACTACCTGTAATATTCCCTTTATTCAGCAAACTTAAATCTGACCCCCCATATGTCTGATATTATGTGAAACAATGTTAGATTTAGGGAACATTTTACCTTGTATTTATGCACAAACTTCAGCGAGCTTTTCTTTCTAAGTCACATATTTTGTTTTTGTGCAATGCCAGCAGGTTTTTAAAAAATGTGTTTACAACTCAGTAAGCGCTATGTTGACAGCCTAAAACCTAGATTAGATGTTTCACCATGCAGTCAGTAATCGTTTGTGGACTTCTCCCTCCCCACTAGCAGCTCCTTTCATTATTCCTGATTAAGATGGGACTGTCGAGCATCATTGTTCTGTTTGTCAAGCACTGAGGTGGAGTTAACGGGTCTAAGCTGATAAAGCTTTGAGCCAAATTGTGACACGTGCGAGAGCAAATTCTGACTGTCTGAAAACGCACCCATTTAAAAAAATAGCAGCCTGAATTGCCTGTCAGGTTAAGACAAGCATTTTTTTTTCACTTAATCTGGGCTGTGTAGGAAAGGGTTCTGATAAACATTCCTAGCATCGTACAGCACAGTCTGGTGTCAGTTTATTCCTGTTATACAGAATTTATTTAAAAAGCCATTTGTGGGAAAACTCCTTACTTTGATCATCCAAATCTAAGGCCTTGAAAAGTCTTAAGTTAACTGAATTATTGTGTTAAAGTATTTTTTATTACGGTAGGTCCTCTTCTGACATCCATGTTAATGCTGTCTCAAAAACTGTACTCAGTAAAATGCTCCCATGACAGCATTGTCCTTGATTGTATATAAGCGCTAAAAAAACTCATCGGCAGCCAATCAGCCTTCTTGTTATTGTCAACTCAAAATGACTTGACTGTTGGCAAGTCGAAACTGAAGTGCTGCTGTTGTGGGTAAATGGCATCAAGGGAACCAGTTTCTAGTCCTAGAGAAATCATATTTAAATGTACAATCATTCCGGCTAAAACATGTATATAAATGTGCTCTTTATCTATGTTCTCTTTTTTTAAATAGTTATACGTCAGCTTGTACACCTAAATTTGGCCAATCATATTTTTTTTTTTATACATATGTCGCAGCTAATATACGCAACAGTTGAAGTAAGGATAATTTCCTTTCCCATTGAGTTCCGAC